GAGTACATCAACAAACCATATAACACACTTAATCTAAATTACACTAACTAATCCGCACCATCACAACATAGGTTACTATGTTTACTAAAAATTACTATGATTACTAAAAATTATGTCCAATTTAACTGTGTTATACTGGAGTAGAACTAAGGTAGTTCCTCTTTATCTACAGAAGATACCCTGCAAGACATTCAGTGGATCCTTGAAACCATGGATAGTACTGAACCTTATCTATACCATTTTTTCATATACATATACATATCTATGATAAAAGTTTAATTTCTAAACTGGGCACTGTAAGTCAGTAACAACAATAATTATAACAATATACTGTAATAAAAGTTACACGAATGTGCTCTCTCTCTGCTGGAATATCTTATTGGACAGTTATATTTTGGAGTGCAGTTGACTGTGGGCAACTGAAGTTATGAAAACTTAGCTGTGGATAAGCGAGAGAGAACTACTATACAGTATAGCCTAAATCCATCTGCTAGTCCAATTGGAGTAAATTAAGAGTACGGATCATTCAGCCCTCTAGGTGTAACTGGACTGCAGCTTCCAACGTTTTTCACCATTTTCTCTGTTGGCTAGGAAGTGGAACCCAACTACATTTGGAGAGCTACATGATTCTTAACTTATAGTAGAACCACTGAATCAGTTGCTCAATAGAAAACAAACCCACATGTAAGTCCCATTAATTCATTAATTCTATTATAATTGGAGCTAGCAATTGAATTTATGTTACAGAAAGAATGGGAATTACATCAATGTTGGCTGACCATTTAATCGTTGTTGAGTTGGGTCTAACCAAGTTGGGTTTAAGAATTAAATTTTGTCTCCAGGTCTCAGTTTTCTTTCTTTAATACTGATAGGTACTGGTGCTTCTTAGGAACTATAGGAGACACTTCAAAGAAGAATTGTGTTGATTGGGTTACTGTGAATTTTCTGGGCTGGAACATGGCCATATAGCCTGGAAAACTCACAGCAACCCAGTGATTCTGGCCATGAAAGCCTTCAACAACACATTGTGTTGATTATATTTTATGCTTAACAAAGACAAATGGTCCTTGTGAACTTTCATTCATGCCACATTTTCTTTTGGCCAGTGTCGAATCTTCCTATGCACTCTTGCTTGTAAATAGTTCTCTGCAGGTCTCACAGTCCTTTCCAGTTTGAACATTGCATTCAACAGGCACAAAGTCTGGGGAACTGACAGCAAACATGTCCTTCATAATTTTGCTGAAAGTTAAGGAAATAATGGATGAAAACCTCCTACATACAAGCAGAAGAATGGAATTCTTGCTCAGTTGAAGCCAAAGAAGACATCTTGATTTCCCATGAAATTACAGTTTTATAGAGCTCTCAATCAAGGCTCAATAACATTTGTTCCCAAACATGTGGCATGGGAACATGAGCAATAAATATCACATAGACATTTCAATTCAAAGAAGATCAATCTTTGTGAATTAGAGGCCTCGGTAGGCTGTGGATTTGGCTACATTGTGCAAACCATAATTGTTCAAGTGAACATTTTCCAGTTGGCTAGATTTAAGGTGTGAGTTTGCCAGCATATAGGTTTAGCCATTCCAGATTCTTGCTTTTAAAAAAAAAAAGAAACAACCAACCTGTCTCCCAAGTATGTTTACTGCATATAATGTTTAGAAATAGCAGCTTGGTTACATAATAAGGTCAGCCTTAAGCATTTGAGTAAATCACAGACACACACACACAAAATCAGCGTTGAACATTTAGTTGAAACATACAAAATACAGAATATGTTTGAACAGTGATTCCCAACCTTGGTTCCCAAGATATTCAACTTTCACAAGCCCTAGGCAGGGTGGAGTTCTTTGGATGTTGGACTAGACCAGG